TTTCCAATCAATTAAATTGATCAATAAATAAATAGCCATCACAGCATAAAAAGCTTCACTCACAGCAAATGATGAAGTTAATCAATGCGAATTGAATTGATTTGAGCGAATGCGACTTAAAAGCGAAATAAAGTTGAATAAGTTCGTGAATTCGAACTCACATGTCGTGACTTTCAGAGAAATAAGTGAGAATAAATAAAGCGTACAAAGGAATAAATCTATAGGCATAGCCGAAGTCATTCCAGTTCCCGAAGATGTTAAACGCAATTTTATATTCCGTCATTTTGTGGAAGCACGTGTTTCAAGAATAGAAGCAACTAGTACATTCTATGTATTTATTAGAGTGCGTATGAAAAGCTAAAAAAGCGGCATTACAATTTATAACCTTAAAAATTAATTAAATGAGATGAAAATAAATGAAAGAGTGAGTGCCACTGTGTAGGTCTCAATCGCACCAAAGATTATAAAGTACATAGATGGGACATCTCATACAAAGTAACATTTTCTATGGCGGGTTCCAGCGCTGGAACCCGCTGGAAAGAGCATATTTTCCGGTACTTTTATAATTGAAATGTGGAGGCATTGTTAATTGTTTCATTTGTAGAAATTAAAGTACCCTGTAAATTTTTAGTATGTTGCAATGCACACTTGTATAGTTATAGGAAAGAGAAAAAGATCTTGAAGTAGTTATAATTGTCTCTCTCTAAGAAGTAGAGAATAAGAAATTATGATGCCAATAAAGTTCCGAAGCATACACACGGTTTTCTGATTTTGTCGCTTCGAATTCTGCCGCTCAATATCAATAACGTTCAAAATTTTTTTGGATGATTTATTTAACATTTGTAGGTAAAATATAAGATAAAATAAAATAAGAATGTACAAATATTTTAGAATTTATTAATATTTTACCAACAAAAGTTTGGCGCTAAAAACATGTAAAATAAGAATAATGCATACGAGGTGTGTTCAAAAAGTAAGGTGACTTTTCAAATTTTGCGGGCAAAATATTTCCGATTATCAATTTTTTTGTATGTAGGTATGTTCTTCCCTAACATCAGTACCAAGTTTCAATTGAATCCCTTTATTTTTTTGGTTGTGAGAGGCGTAAAGGTTACAAGTTTTTTTGCGTGCTCGGCGATTTTTTGATATCGAATAATATGGATCAAAGTATTTGCATCAAGTTTTGTGTAAAAAAAATAAAATTATGTTTGAAATGTTGACAGTGGCATACGGGGAAACTTTTCTGAGTAAAAAACAAGAAAGGAAAGCTAACTTCGGGCTGAGCCGTAGTTGATATACCCTTGCAGTTAAAACCGGATATATATCGCAAACATCGGATATAGTTTGCCGATCCTTATGAAAATAGGATAATATAACCCAATTTATTATAATACAAAATCTAAAAAAGTCCTAAACTTCTATCTTCAAAAATACCAAAGTTGGTATTTCTACCAAAAACCATTTCCGATCGTTCAGTTATATGGCAGTTATAAGATGTAGTCGGTCGATCGTTATGAAATTTTGTAGGTCGGATTAACTGACCAAAAATATAATCTGTACCAAGTTCCAGACTTCCATTTTCAAAAACACGATCGTTCAGTTATATGGCAGCTAGAGGATATCGTCGGCCGATCCTTATGAAACTTGGTAGGTCTGATAATCTGACCAAAAATAGAATTTGTACGAAGTTTAAGATTTCTATCTTCAAAAACACGAAAGTTTGGTTATTTCCGATCGTTCAGTTATATGGCAGCTATAGGATATAGTCGGCCGATTTCCATAAAATTTAACATGTCATATTATTTTGCCAAAAATAGCTCTCACGTAAAATATGAAAAAACACCAAAGTTATATTATTTCCGATCAAGCAGTTATATGGCAGCTATAGGATATAATCGGCCGATCCGACATATATACTGCGTGCAAAGGAAAGAAGGATATGTGCAAAGTTTCATGTCGATAGCTTTAATACTGAGAGACTAGTTTGCGTAGAAACAGACAGACGGTCAGTCAAACGGATATGCGTATATCAACTCAGGAGGTGATCCTGATCAAGAATATATATACTTTATAGGGTCGGAGATCGAAGTGGTACAAACTCTTCCAAGATAGGCGGGAAGATACCAATGACGAGCCTCGCTCAGGTTCCCAAGCACGTCAACAACTGATGAAAACGTTCAAGCAGTGAAAAACATTTTTTTGGAAAATCGTCGAATATCAGAGAAGTGCCATGAAAGATGAAAAGAAAGAAAGGGGATTTGCAACGATTGAAGAGATAAATACCGTAAAAATACAAAAGACCGCTTAAGCTGAGTATTTTATTTCTTCGGTCTTTTAAAAACTTTCAATGTCTGAGCCAAAGTTGCCAGAATTGAATGGACTGAAATAAATTAATAGAAAAAATTTGCTATAAATAGCTAAAGAAATATATAAAACTGTTATAAACTGCAAAATTTGTGTGTGTTATTTTTAAATGGTTTTTATTAAAATAATACAGAAATATTGTCAATATCGATGGTGTTCTCGACCGAATCTTCTTATTTATCTGATTCAGACATAATTTTAAAATATTTGGTTGGCAATGTGTAGTTAAACAACACATCCCACTTATTTTGAGTCCATATTTGGAAATCAGTGGGCGGCCCTCAATACAATGATATGGTTTAAAGGTATTAGTATTAGTGACAAAAATCAGATATTGGGCTACGAGCGTGACGTTTCATACGTTTACACTGTTTGTGTGCGGCAGAGCTCGAGCCCTGCCGACCATTGCTGTAAATTAACATTCATTTCATTAGTATAAATCTTAGAATTGTATTTAATAATTAAGCCTAGCTTTTGGCTATAATAGCATTTAGAGTTTCAAATGCATTCATTTTCTCATTTTACTTTTAACTAGCTGCACTTGGCTACATACGCGTTCCACCTCTGCGTTCAACCAAGGTAGACTCATTATTATAAATGCAAAGGTATTGAGGGGGTATCTCTGGACTTCAAAACTTCGGATATATATCGCAAACATCGGATATAGTTGGCCGATCCTTATGATTACATCATAATAAAACCAATTAATTTAAATAAAATATCTAAAAAAAAGTACCAAGCTTCTATCTTCAAAAATACGAAAATTGATTTTTCTACCAAATACCATTTTATAAGATATAGTCGGCCGATCCTAATGAAATTTGGTAGGTTGGATCAACTGACCAAAAATCTGTACTTAGTTTCAGCTTTCTATCTTCAAAAAAACGAAAGTTGGGTTATTTTCGATCGTTCAGTTATATGGCAGCTATAAGATATAGTCGGCCGATTCTTATAATTTTGAATCTCGTGTCAAATTTGCAATCTCTAACTTTAAAAACACCAAAGTTATACTTTTTCCGATCAATCAGGTATATGGCAGCTATAGGATATAGTCGGCTAATCCGGGCCGTTCCGACTTTTATACTGCGTGCAAAGGAAAGAAGGGTGTGTGCAAAGTTTCAAGTCGATAGCTTTAAAACTGAGAGACTAGTTCGCGTAGAAACAGACAGACAGTCAGACGGACATGCTCATATCAACTCAGGAGGTGATCCTGATCAAGAATATTTATACTTTATAGGGTCGAAGATGTCTCCTTCACTGCGTTGCACACTTTTGACCAAAATTATAATACCCTCTGCAAGGGCATAAAAATGCTAGATTTTTAGCTAATAGCATATCACAAAATCTTATAGCTTTCGCAGTTTCAAAAGAGCTAGACCTAGCAATAAAAAAACAAAAATTTCAACAATGGTTTGAGCACTCGATTAATTCGGTCTCTGTAAGTTATTTTTGACAGACCCACAAAATTAAAAATCATCTGATAATGCAAGCAAACTATGCAAGCTTTCGAAAATAGAGTCCTTCGAATCGCCACTGGGGCCCACGTCTATCATGACAATCGCACCATCCACGAGGTTCTCAATTTCCCTTGGGTCAAGGACGAGATACAAAGAAGCAGCGCACGTTACATGCAGAGGCTTCATAATCACCCGAACCGGTTGGCCAGCTCCCTGCTGGACAGCAGCGAGCAACCCAGAAGACTTAAAAGGACACACCCGCTGGACCTCCCCTTACTACTCTAATTTTTTTTTTCTACCATGTTAATATTTAAAAATATCTATACGTGAAGTTTACGTGATAAAATTTAATGGTTGTCCCTAATGGACAGTTTTAAATAAACATTACCCTGCTATTACAAAAAAAAAAAAAAAAAATCTGATAATGCTCAACCGAAAACCTACATATTTCAAATCAAGCGTTTTCTCTCTGAGAGAGAGAAAGCATTCGGTCATATAAAAATAATTGCAAAGCAGTTAACAGTTATTTGGAAGCTCTTCGTCTAAAGCAGTATTCGGCACAGCCCTATCCCGCGGGCATAGAAAATTTCTCTGCCCGAGCTCTGCCACACACACAGTAAACGTCATGCTTACAGCCTACTTTCTGCTTTTCGTTACTAAAACTAATGTGTTAAAATCATAACAATGTATTGAGTGGCGATCACTCAGTTTTTTTTTTTTTTAAGGGGCGAAATCTACCTTTACATAAGAGCATAAAAATATATATATTTTTCACATTAACTTCAGTTAATGTTACCTTTCAGTATTAATTTCATTTTCTGCATTTATTATCTGTTTTATGAAAAAAAAAATATCTTGGCATTCGCACGCATTTAAAAAACTGGCTTCATCCGTTTGCGTTCTACAGTCATTCTTCGTCTTTAGTCGTTTCAATGTTGTGCGACTGAGGAGGTCGTTCGTTCACGCATTCAATTCGTGTTGTATAGAGTTAATACAAATGAAGTATTTTTGGCATTAATGCAGATTTCCCATAAGAATGTAAATATTCTATTCATATTCAATAAGCTATATTTTTTTAATGTTTAACGCATTGACTTCGCGTTTAAAAGACGCGCAATTAACAAAGATGTGATGTTAAAAGCAAAAAGTGTGTATAGATTAAAAAATATACGATTTCTGTTATTTTTTTCGTAAGAGGAGCAAAGGGAAAGAAAATAATTTTTGGACATCACTATATTAAACAAATAAATTCGTATGGAGTTGTTTAAGAAATAACAAAGAATACATTATAAGACCATAAATCTTTTGGAAGTGTATTCATACATACATATATTAATATATATCTATTTTCAAAAAAAAAACTATGGCCTACCATTGTGTTCAACCCTTAACTTGAGTGGAAAAACTGGTATGTGAAAAATATCCTTTTTTTCCAAATTATCCCCATTTTTTAACAAATAAACAAAAAGTTTGTAATTTAGTTTAAGATTGCAGAGGCAAACAAATATTTCCAAACAACAAGCGAAAACCAACTAATGTGCTTTGAAGTTAGTTTACTTCTCTTGTTTATATGCTTCTCCATATCAAAATGAATCCCTGCACTTTGCCTACTCCTGTTCCCGACGCAGACGGAGACCAAAGATGGTTTAGTATTCATCGTAGGTTTATATCCGACTGTCGCGAAAAGGACCCAGACGTAATATTTCTTGGCGACTGCATTTTCGAGGCGCTACAGGATAGTGAAACATGGAATAAATATTTTGCACCACTGCACTGCCTTAACTTTAGCATTCGCGACGACTGCACCGAAAATATTCTTTGGAGAATCGAAAACGGCGTTTTAGATAATGTCAACCCTAAAATTGTTGTCTTGCATGTTGGTACCAATAATATTAAAAACAGTGCCCGTGAAGTAGCGGAAGGCGTTTTGGAGAATGTTTCAAAAATTCGTGAAAAACTTCCTCTTGCCTACATAATTTTACCGGTAAGCGTTTTGTACTAAAAAAAATTTGTTCAACTAAAAAATAGATTGTTTGCTTTTGCTTGCAGTCTCTTTTACCCAGAGGACAACAGCCCAACAAATTGCGCGAGAAAAACGTATGCATCAACAAATTGGTCATAGAGATGACGAAAGGATTACATCGCGTCCAGACTGTCTCCATTGACAAGGGCTTGGTGCAAAGTGACGGTTCTATTAGTCATCACGATATGTTTGATTATAAAAATCTCACAAATACTGGCGCCAACAAAATTCTAGAACCTCTTTATGATCTTCTTTCGCAAATACTTTACGAAAATGAGCCAGATCCATATCTATCTCAATCTGACTAAAAATATACCATTTATTTTATTTGAGTGTACTTATAATTATATTCCGGAACAAGTCTAGACTTACCAATGAATTTATTCATTAAAACAATTACAAATAAATATACGATATGTATTCATATGTAAATATCATTTAAATATTGCAATAAAAGTTGCTTAAATCATTTTTTTTAGCTACATATAAACGTTTCAAGTAAGTTAAAGTTTGGTGAGGCTATTAAAATTTCGATGCTGAGGGTATTATAGGGTAGGCTTGCTGAGGGTATTCTACTTTTGAATAAATGTTTTTAACCCAGTGGAGACATCATAGACCTTGGGATGCATATAATAAGGTCCTTCTGTTGTTTCAACGGCAACTAGTTTCTCAGTTTTAGAGTTATCGAGTTGTTTTCCGGTGCGTTATTTATCACAGTCAAACATACAACGTAACACTTGCAAATGCGTTTTCCCGCGAATTGCATTCATACACATATACATATATACATATACATACATCCACATTTGCGGTTCAAAGCGCATAGTGGAACAGATCGCCCACCTCGCTCAATTTTATTTTGAGCGTTGCAATTTTCGCCATTATTTATTGAGGTTTTGATTACATCTGTGCTATTAGAAAGTGCAAGGCAAAGTGTATTCTCCAGGACTTACAGAGCATCCAAGGAGCCCTTTTCATTTTCCGATCGGGATCATTTCCGATCATTCAGTTATATGGCAGCTATAGGATATTGTCGGCCGATCCTTATGAAATTTGGCATGTCGTATTATTTTGCCAAAAATAGCTCTCATGTAAAATTTTAACTAACTCTAAAAACACCAGAGTTATACCATTTCTGATCAATCAGTTATATGGCAGCTATAGGATATAGTCGACCAATCCCGACCGTTCCGACTTATATACTGTGTGCAAAGGAAAGAAGGGTGTGTGCAAAGTTTCAAGACGATAAATTTAAAACTGAGATTAGTCTGCGTAGAAACACACAGACGGACAGACAGACATGCTCATATCAACTCAGGAGGTGATCCTGATCAAGAATATATATACTTTATAGGGTCGGAGATGTCGCCTTCAATGCGTTGCACACTTTCAACGCTCTGCAAGGGTATAAAATTGACCAGTTTAAAAAGTATAAAAAGGTATTAAGATATAGGAAATTCTCCAAATTAATAATTTCATTATTTATTAATTTAAAGAGTTTACTGCAATAGCTTATCAGCCTCGGCTCCCCCCGAAATTCGCTTTCCATTCTTGTTTTAAATATAATATCCGCCCTTTTTTTCCAAATATATGACAATAAAACACCTTTTCCAGCTAATTTTGAAAACTTCCAAATATTTGTTTGTGCCTAATTTTTTCAAGAATATAAAAATAATTATATAAGATGTATCGCTAATTTAAAAGTTATTAATATTATATTTAATATAATTTATAGTGTTTTTGTGTCTATCACATTAGAATTAGAGTAAGTCCGCGAATATTAAAGTTCAATACTTCAATATATTTTTCTTATTATTTACTTCTTTACTTTATTTTTTACAAAACTAAAACAAGAAAGACTATAGCCGTAGTCCAGTTTCCCGATTATATTATACACGTTACTCATCCCTTCCACCCAAAGTTTAACTAACCTTGATAATTTATACCAGGGCTGCCATCCGATATCCGGTTTGGCTGCTTTTTGGTTTGTGGGTGTAGATTAGCTATGGGAACAGCTTGGCATCAAAACATTTTCCAAAAATATTAACGAACTGGCGCTACAACCAGATTCCTTTTTTTGGGAATATCTCTACTCTATCTCTCTTCGCTAACTTGTGCTTACGGATAATTTTACTGGCAATTCTCTTTTCGACCTATGTGTGTTTCTTTTGCTTACTATCGTTAGCTCCTCGAGGAACACCTTCCTTGCCGCATGTGAAGGTGGCATCATAGCAGTTGGGTCGGTGGATTTCACCTTGGTGGCAGTTTGGGATGGCTATCCTCCAGCCCCTGTTGCTTCATTAATTATTTTGTCCATAGGTGAATTGCGGAGAAAAGATGGTTATCCCGGGCGGGCGCATCCGGGTGAGGCTTCTTCGAAATGGAAGCCGCCAAGTACCCTGAGCCCTCCGTTAATGACTGGGCAGAATTTGAATCTAAATTTCTATTTATAGGCTGACTGTCGGTACGGGTCAAATAACACCTTAGTCCGATCCGGGATGAGATGGTGTTTTGGGATGGGAAGTGGGTAGTTGGGAATAGCGAATGAGGAGTGGAGGGTTATTAGAGGCGGCGACACAAGCGCTTAAGGCGCGGATATCCGGTAGATTTTTATGGCTGTTTGTTTACGAGGCCGATGGTTACGGTTATGAGAATATTATAAAAAAACCAATTTATTTCAATAAAAAATAAAAAAAAAAATCCCAATCTTACCAAAATGGTATTTTTGTCCAATTTTTGTCAAGAATATACATATATATGTCGGGAAATGGTGGTCGTTTTTCTCTGCCATTTTGTATTTCACAACGCGCACCGAGTCGCAATGATCTTCTTGTACGTCTGTTCTTGATTGCCCTTCCTCTCCTCTTCCTCCTTTCCATCATTGCGCCACGCTCAGCAGGGCTTTACTCTTCTTCCCCACCGCGCTCTCATTCAAAAAGCTTATCTCTCTTCATTTGCAATGCCCATTTATTTCCTTTTAGACTATACACTTAATTTATAATTCATCAGTAAATAAAGTATTTTTATTTTTATTTTTATTTTTTTTTAAGCTTAGTTTGTTTTTATTGGATCACTCTTTATGAGTCTAACAATAAGGTTGCAAGTCTTAAAATAATACAATATCTAACAGTTTGTTTTGAACTGAATAGAGACTACGTGGTCCTAATAATTAGAGCTGGATTGGGACGTCGTTGCGGCGAAGACGAGAACTGCTGGAAACTCGCGTGAGGGCTCTCGCGAGATGATTTGGATGTACTGATAGCCTGTTGTAGTACTTTGTTTTGATTTGTGCTATCTCTTCTCTGACGAGTGGTATGTGAAGGACCCTGTGAATGTTTTCATTCCGAACGTACCACGGTGCCCCGGTGATGGTTCTGAGAATTTTTGATTGAGTTCGATGCATTATATCCACACTGCTGTTACTGGCATTCCCCCACAACTGGGAACCGTACATCCAGATTGGTTTCAAGACGGTGTTATATAGGAGTACCTTGTAGTCCAAGCTAAGGGGCGAGCGGCTATTGATAAGCCAGTGGAGGCTGTTGGCTTTGAGCTTTAAATGCGTTCTTTTGGCTTCAATGTGGCTGCGCCAGATAAGCCGTCTATCGAGGTGTACGCCAAGATATGTTACTACATTTGCGGAACCACTACATATCGGAACCACTGTGTTGTTAAGAATAAGTGGAGGGCAGTCTTGCCTCTTAAGAGTGAACGTTACGTGTTTGCATTTTTTTTCGTTAACTTTGATTCGCCAGTCGGATAGCCATTTCTCCACTGCCACCAGGTGTATAGCAAGTTGCGCCGTTGCTTGCTTGGGGCATCTCGAGCGGCTTAGGATCGCTGTGTCATCTGCAAAAGTGGATGTGGTTAGATTCCTGCTCGTTGGGATGTCCGCAGTGTAGATAAGGTAGAGTGTTGGTCCAAGCACGCTGCCTTGAGGAACTCCGGCTCTAATGATGTAGTCATCGGACATGGCTGAATTACATCACTAACCATACAGCATATAGACAACCCATTTCATACAACGAAAATGGACGCGAAAATTTCTTGCTACAGGCCCCAGCAGGCCCCAGAGCGGATTTCTTACGCTCTCTTACGCTCATCGTTCGTTCATCTTACGCTCATTCTCGCATTAAATGTTTTCTGTTTCTCAGTCTCTAAACGGAGCGCGATGAAGAAGGTTGGCCTGCGCTTCGGTTGATCTTTGTATGTATGCGTGTCACACATTCACATACATGGGTGTATGTGTGCGTGCGATTTCGTTTCGAAGCCAGCGCACAAAATTTTGATTTTTCTTACTTTTAAGGCTTGCTACCCTAACAAAATTCGGGTATTCGTTATTTGATGAAATGACGAAAGAAATTATATTATTTTTTATTTTATTTTTTTTTATTATTTCAGCATACATTTTTAATTTATTTAGGAATAAGATTAAGTGTTAGTAGTAAAATGTTTTCTGTATATATATTTTTACGAATCATTAAAAATCAATATACTGAGAAAGTGTCAGAGTATATTTCGGTCGGAGTCACTTAAAGCGCCGATTGCTTTTAAGTTTTTGTTGTTCTGCAAGAGGCTTGTGCATGCCTACTCTAACGATGGAATGATTTTTAGGGGAGGGTGAAGACACGAAAACAGCTGATGGACTTGTTTACCTTTTTTGTTTACAATTTTTCAGGCACTTGTTATTATATTTTGGGTTATTGTGAGATTTAATTAAATTATTGTCGTTAATTTAATAATTTCCTTATATATATTTCCTTATATATAATAACTTTAAAAAGTAATTTAATTCTTCACCCGTCTTCACCCTCCCCTAAAAATCATTCCATCGTTAGAGTAGGCATGCACAAGCCTCTTGCAGAACAACAAAAACTTAAAAGCAAACGGCGCTTTAAGTGACTCCGACCGAAATATACTCTGACACTTTCTCAGTATATTGATTTTTAATGATTCGTAAAAATATATATACAGAAAACATTTTACTACTAACACTTAATCTTATTCCTAAATAAATTAAAAATGTATGCTGAAATAATAAAAAAAAATAAAATAAAAAATAATATAATTTCTTTCGTCATTTCATCAAATAACGAATACCCGAATTTTGTTAGGGTAGCAAGCCTTAAAAGTAAGAAAAATCAAAATTTTGTGCGCTGGCTTCGAAACGAAATCGCACGCACACATACACCCATGTATGTGAATGTGTGACACGCATACATACAAAGATCAACCGAAGCGCAGGCCAACCTTCTTCATCGCGCTCCGTTTAGAGACTGAGAAACAGAAAACATTTATTGCGAGAATGAGCGTAAGATGAACGAACGATGAGCGTAAGAGAGCGTAAGAAATCCGCTCTGGGGCCTGCTGGGGCCTGTCGCAAGAAATTTTCGCGTCCATTTTCGTTGTATGAAATGGGTTGTCTATATGCTGTATGGTTAGTGATTACATCTTACTGAGAATTTCCTGTTGTATAGGTATGAC